AAATTGGTTTGTCAAATAAAATAAAATTCTTGTTTCAAGTTTGCTCACAGATTGTTTTGTAATTTCACGTTTTCCATCGCGTCCTTGAAGGCTTTTAGTACAAGATTTACATTATCTTTTGTACTGTTCAACCCCATCAAACCAACACGTCATATCTGAAACATTTCACCACAAAAAGTAAGGCTTTTCACCGGGAAAAATTTACGATTATAGAGCGAATATCTGCGAATATGGAGAAGAAAATTGTGAATATGGATACCTTTCAAGCAGATCTTCCAAGACCACCTGAATTATCCATTTTATGTCTGAAAAAGAAATTCATTATTCAATTTTAAGACTCTCCCTCTTTATTGGACCTCTATGAATCACCCCCCTGCAAGTCTTTAAAATGGTGCTGTTGGCAGGGGGGGACTTATTCCCAAGATTCATCACATAGCAAGTACCGTAAATGGAAAGATTCACCCCCCCTGCCCATATTGAAAAATTAATCTACTGGCAGGGGGGTGATTGCCTCCATTTACAGTACTTGCTGAGTGACGGAACCACTTATGGAAAAAACTATGGAGTTGTTCTTCTGATAGGTATTCTGCGCCTACACTTTCTTTTATTTTTATTGTATTTTTATCTTTACTTGAAAGCACGACAAGAAATTACCATTTAGACCTAACCCGGGGGGTGACGGGAGTCAATGACCAAATTCATTACTCATTCTTTTTCGAGAAATGCATTATAGTTTAAAATTTAGTGTAGCCGAATTCATATTAGAGGCGGGAAACTCGTCTTACAAGGTCAAGGAAAACAGGAAACTCGTCTTACAGGGGAAACTCCTCTTGGAAACTCATCTTAAACGGGAAACTCGTCTGATGTGAATCAGGCCACAGACGGGTTTCTCGTCAGAATTTTCCCGCCTGACTTTCCCGTCTAAACAAACGGTTAATTTGAACGGGAATCCCTTCTGGACGAGAAACTTGTATTAAATTCGCATTTAGACGGATAAATCAGACGAGTTTCTGAAATATCAACACGGTCAAGGATCGAACAAGGGTAAAGCCCGCCGCACAAGAGAGCTATCAGCTGCACTAACGACCTCGAGGCGAATTCCTCACGAAAAACTATCCGCACACGAGAGTAACTTGCTGAGCTAACAGCCTCGCTTTACCTCAGCTACCAGCTCTCGTGTGAGGCGCGCTTAACTTAGAAAATAAACAAAACTATTATCGTAATAATCACGATACCCTTTTTAGCATTACCCGACCCATCACACGTGTAAATTTTATATCCATTTCAAGTCATATTAAGACGAGTTTTTACAATCAACTTTCCTGTCTAAGATGAATTTTTCGTGCCTAATATGAATTTGGTTATTAATGTGAGAGAGATGATACCTTCGGCTTCTCCGCTTCCTTGAATATACAATCCATTGTTATATGGTTTGTTGTTGTTTGAATAAGAACGTGATTTTCGTCAGATCTTCGCAGCAAATGGTGTCAAGACAGAATTCCCTGGTTTGCAAATTATGTCGACGCCATTGTGTGTACGAGAACCTCTGTATAATGATAAATTCACGTTAATTTAATTGTTTTGTAAGATTATAAGAATATTATCGATTCGCTGTCTTGCTACAAGCTTACATCTGGTCTTACCTTGGTGTTCCGAAATCACCACAACCCTGACTGTCACATTCACGGATTAAATTTCTACCATTTGAGCTGCAAAGCTGACCAAGTTTAAAACATTCAACCGTATTATCTAGAAAAATAAATACAGAAAAATACGATGAAGAATAACGAAGTGATACTTGAGAATTCTACGAACAAAGATATATATCACAATATGTATTCCAGTACCTTCAAAGACTAGGAATATAACAACGATCTTAACAACTCCAAAAATCTTTGATCTGCTAAAATTTAATCTTCTAGCTTGAAATGGCTTTTCATCGATATAATGACCGCACTTATACAGGATGTTTAAAAAAACACAACACTTAATATTTATGAATATTTTGATACGCTATACGATCTTTTGTGATCAAAACGAAAGTGAATTTCATAAACACTTTGAAGTGGCGTTTTTCTTATTCACCACAGCTGTAGATCAATCCACAAGATATCCTGAACCATTTGTGTGTTGATGAAAACTCATTTAGATTGGAATATTATTGCACCGCGAAAATATTCAACTCGACTTAGACAAAGTAAAATACTAAAGTAGGTCACATCTGGGTGCATTGCAAGCTAATGGGTTAACAAGAGACACTGACAGATAGTTTTGTTAACTTATTAACTGACAGTACTCTTCCACTGATGAGTAAAATCATCTGACACGATTAGGAAAATACAAACTATTTCTTGGTATAAAGTATCTTTTTCTTCGAACTTATTTCCATATAATGAAATAAGAAATTCCTTCCAACATAAACACAACCAATTGCAAGTCAGCATTTGAATAGAAGATGCTGAGCTTTTGTCAGGAGACAATAATAATAATATAATTTTTTTATATCACGAATTCCTGTCCACAAAACACTCCTTAAACACTTACGGAAGAGATATTTCTCTGCTGTTCTAAACAGATAATTTTGCCGTAACGATTTGAGAAAATACAAACACAGACTTCTTCAAGAACGAACACTGTATGTATATTCAGTCTATACAGCGAGGTTTATACTACAGAGCGACAAACAACACAGAACTTGCTTTATTATTACGACATAAGAACGACGTGAAATATGGCTTCATATATACAAGGCTACGATGAAGAACGCTTCGAGACCAAAGTCAGTAAAAATTTCCTTTGTCAGATTTGCTTCAACGTCTTGAAAGAGCCTGTCCTGTGTCCGACAAACCAACATTGTTTTTGCCGTTGTTGTATTACGAAACATCTGGAAAATTCTCAAACATGTCCAACGTGTGCTGATGAACTGACCGTAGAGACTTTGGGCGAACCCCAAAGAATTGTAAAAGATCTTATAAACGAGTTAAAAATTCGTTGCGTTTACATCGACAGAGGTTGTCAAGAGTTGTGGAATTACAGCATCTTGACCGCCATGAAGATACATGTGGATACACACCAGCCGTTTGTACAAACCAAGGCTGTGGTTTAATTGTCAACAAGCGTGATCTTATTCACCATGAAAGTGAAGTCTGTGAATTCCGAAAGTTGAAGTGTCACTCGTGCGGAGAAATGACGAAAACTTTGGCAGATATGGAGGAAAAAATGGCGAAGAATAATGTAAATATTGAAACTAAAATAACAAATTTAGAGAAAAACGTTGCTACTTTTGCGAATGATATGGAGAAAAACACCGCAGATATAAAAGCAGATATAAAAGCAGATATGGAAGGAAAACTCGAAGCGGTTAACAACGAAGTCAAAGGATTGAAAACAGCTTTGGTCAAAGCTTTTGATGAAATGAAGGACGTTCTTATCACGATGGAGGGCAAGAAAGAAGAAAACACAAGAAAAGTAAGAAATAGACCAAGTGGTGATAAGGAAAATATAATTGTTGCTGGAGATGTAGCAACTAACTCTGTAGAGATATTTAACTGGCGCCAAAGAACATGGTCGCCATTACAATCAATGCCAGAGGATCGTTATGGAGCAACTTCATTTACTTATAACAATCATATGACTATAGCTGGGGGTGGCTGTGGTTGGCCTGGCATTGTTGATGATATAATTAGAATGAATATTGACCCAAACCCTGATCTCTCAACACACTGGAGTGACTGTCCTGTTAAACTACCTGATAAGTTGAGATACCACAGCAGTGTGCTGTATAATGATGAGTTGATACTCTCTGGAGGTGATAATGGAAATGTTTCATCTGACTTGATCAGATCAGTCCAGCTTGTTCCTCCCTATACTGTGAAGACCTTATCAAGAATGCCAGAACCGAGACAAGGTCACAGCATGGAAATATTTGATGATAATTTGTTGACAGTTGGTGGAAGTAAAACTGACAGTTACACAGACAACCTCAGCAGTGTCGTACTGTACGATATAAAGAAGAATGAGCTAAAACAGTTGTCACCACTGCCGTATGAAGTGAGTGCTATGGCAACTGTGAGATGGGGAGACAACCTTGTTGTTATTGGTGGCGTTGACAAACATGGCAAGACATTAGATACAGTTATCATTTACAATGTCAAGACAAAACAAAGTCACATGCTGCCATCAATGAGATGTAAGAGGAGAGGATGCACTGCAGTTGTTATTGAAAACAACATTGTAGTCCTGGGAGGATCTGGTGCAGGAGAACTGAAGTCAGTTGAAGGTTTCAACTTTGAAAGGTATTCTTGGGAAAAACTTCCAGAAATGTCTAAAGCAAGATGGCGGCACACTGCTGTTGTTGTGTGAACAATATGTAAGGTATTAAGTGAAAACTCCTAACATATTATGAACAATTGAAATGAACTATAAGATTTTCACAAAGTTATAGAAATAGATTGCAGCATTCTAAGTTGATTGTCAGACATATACTGATTTGTATTTTTGTGTTTGAATTTAAATTGTGTCAGTTCTTAGGATTATATATTAAAGAACAATAACAAATCTTTGAAATAGATTTTTTTATTGAGGAAGGTTTATAATGAAACACAAAATAAAAAATTTGAAATAAGCTTTTCTGCACCCCCTCCACCTAGGTTTTTTCACTCCCTCCCTCCCACAGGTTTTTTCACCCCCCCCAACTAGGTTTTTCAACCACCCAACCTCACCCCTTTCTACCTGGGTTCTTCTTCCCCGGGCCCCCAGACCAAGAATCCTAACTGAGCCTCTGGCTCAAGAAATAGCTCAGTTACCTATTTTAAATATCAGCCTGTCTGTAAATGATGTTTGTGTCTGTCAGACTGCCACAGACCAAGTCATATTTTAAAATTTAACAATTAACAAGATTTGAAGAGATAGTTTTACTCTTTATTAAAACAAAACCATGATTAACTAATATAAATTGGTTTGTCAAATAAAATAAAATTCTTGTTTCAAGTTTGCTCACAGATTGTTTTGTAATTTCACGTTTTCCATGGCATCCTTGAAGGCTTTTAGTACAAGATTTACATTATCTTTTGTACTGTTCAACCCCATCAGACCAACACGCCATATCTGAAAAATTTCACCACAAAAAGTAGGTTTTTCAAGGGAAAAAATTTACGATTATGGAGTGAATATCTGCGAATATGAGAAGAAAATTGTGAATATGATACCTTTCCAGCAGATTTCCAAGACCACCTGAAATATCCATTTTATATCTGAAAAAGAAATTGATTATTCAATTTTAACACTCTCTATGAATGACCCCCTGCAAGTAAAAATGCCACTATTGGCAGGGGGTACTTCCCAAGATTTATCACTTAGAAAGTACGTAAATGGAGATACCCCCCTGCCCATATTAAAAATAACTGTTCGAGGGGGGTGATTGCCTCCATTTACCGTACTTCCTGAGTGACGTGAACCACTTATGCAAAAAACTATGGAGTTGTTCTTCTGATAGGTATTCTGTGCCTACACTTTCTTTTATTTTTATTGTATTTTTATCTTTACTTGAAAGCACGACATGAAATTACCATTTAGACCTAACCCGGGGGGTGACGGGAGTCAATGACCAAATTCATTACTCATTTTGTTTCGAGAAATGCATTATAGTTTAAAATTTAGTTTAGCCGAATTCATATTAGAGGCGGGAAACTCGTCTTACAAGGTCAAGGAAAACAGGAAACTCGTCTTACAGGGGAAACTCCTCTTGGAAACTCATCTTAGACGGGAAACTCGTCTGATGTGAATCAGGCCACAGACGGGTTTCTCGTCAGAATTTTCCCGCCTAACTTTCCCGTCTAAACAAACGGTTAATTCCTTCTGGACGAGAATCTCGTCTTAAATTCACATTTAGACGGATAAATCAGACGAGTTTCTGAAATATCAACACGGTCAAGGACGGAACAAGGGTAAAGCCCGCCGCACAAGAGAGCTATCAGCTGAGCTAACGATCTCGCGAGGCAGTTAACTCAGCCTGAAAACTATCCGCACACGATAGAAACTTGCCTCTCGAGGCGAATTCCTCACGAAAAACTATCCGCACACGAGAGTAACTTGCTGAGCTAACAGCCTCGCGAGGTCTTTAACTCAGCTAGCAGCTCTCGTGTGAGGCGGGTTTATTTGAGAAAATAAACAAATTTTTATCGTAACAATCACGATACCCTTTTTAACATTACCCGACCCATCACACGTGTAAATTTTATATCCATTCCAACTCATATTAAGACGGGTTTTTCACAATCAACTTTCTGTCTAAGATGAATTTGCCGTGCCTAATATGAATTTGGTTATTAATGCGAGAGAGATGATACCCTCATCTTCTTCGCTTCCTTGAATATACAATCCATTGTTATATGGTTTGTTGTTTTTTGAATAAGGACGTGATTTTCGTCAGATCTTCGAAGCAAATGGTGTCATGACAGAACTCCCTGGTTTGCAAATTATGTCGACACCATTGTCTGTACGAGAGCCTCTGTATAATGATAAATTCACGTTAATTTACTTGTTTTTGTAAGATTATAAGAATATTATCGATTCGTTGTGTTGCTACAAGGTTACATCTGGTCTTACCTTGGTGTTCCGAAATCACCACAACCCTGACTGTCACATTCACGGATTAAATTTCTACCATTTGAGCTGCAAAGCTGACCAAGTTTAAAACATTCAACCGCATTATCTAGAAAAATAAATCCAGAAAAATACGATGAAGAATAACGAAGTGATACTTGAGAATTCTATGAACAAAGATATATATCACAATATGTATTCCAGTACCTGCAAAGACTAGGAATATAACAACGATCTTAACAACTCCAAACATCTTTGATCTGCTAAAATTTAATCTTCTAGCTTGAAATGGCTTTTCATCGATATAATGACCGCACTTATACAGGATGTTTAAAAAAACACAACACTTAATATTTATGAATATTTTGATACGCTATACGATCTTTTGTGATCAAAACGAAAGTGAATTTCACGAACACTTTGAAGTTGCGTTTTTCTTATTCACCACAGCTGTAGATCAATCCACAAGATATCCTGAAACATTTGTGTGTTGATGAAAACTCATTTAGATTGGAATATTATTGCACCGCGAAAATATTCAACTTGACTTAGACAAAGTAAAATACTAAAGTAGGTCACATCTGGGTGCATTGCAAGCTAATGGGTTAACAAGAGACACTGACAGATAGTTTTGTTAACTTATTAACTGACAGTACTCTTCCACTGATGAGTAAAATCATCTGACACGATTAGGAAAATACAAACTATTTCTTGGTATAAAGTATCTTTTTCTTCGAACTTATTTCCATATAATGAAATAAGAAATTCCTTCCAACATAAACACAACCAATTGCAAGTCAGCATTTGAATAGAAGATGCTGAGCTTTTGTCAGGAGACAATAATAATAATATAATTTTTTTATATCACGAATTCCTGTCCACAAAACACTCCTTAAACACTTACGGAAGAGATATTTCTCTGCTGTTCTAAACAGATAATTTTGCCGTAACGATTTGAGAAAATACAAACACAGACTTCTTCAAGAACGAACACTGTATGTATTTCAGTCTATACAGCGAGGTTTATACTACAGAGCGACAAACAACACAGAACTTGCTTTATTATTCCGACATAAGAACGACGTGAAATATGGCTTCATATATACAAGGCTACGATGAAGAACGCTTCGAGACCAAAGTCAGTAAAAATTTCCTTTGTCAGATTTGCTTCAACGTCTTGAAAGAGCCTGTCCTGTGTCCGACAAACCAACATTGTTTTTGCCGTTGTTGTATTACGAAACATCTGGAAAATTCTCAAACATGTCCAACGTGTGCTGATGAACTGACCGTAGAGACTTTGGGCGAACCCCAAAGAATTGTAAAAGATCTTATAAACGAGTTAAAAATTCGTTGCGTTTACATCGACAGAGGTTGTCAAGAGGTTGTGGAATTACAGCATCTTGACCGCCATGAAGATACATGTGGATACACACCAGCCGTTTGTACAAACCAAGGCTGTGGTTTAATTGTCAACAAGCGTGATCTTATTCACCATGAAAGTGAAGTCTGTGAATTCCGAAAGTTGAAGTGTCACTCGTGCGGAGAAATGACGAAAACTTTGGCAGATATGGAGGAAAAAATGGCGAAGAATAATGTAAATATTGAAACTAAAATAACAAATTTAGAGAAAAACGTTGCTACTTTTGCGAATGATATGGAGAAAAACACCGCAGATATAAAAGCAGATATAAAAGCAGATATGGAAGGAAAACTCGAAGCGGTTAACAACGAAGTCAAAGGATTGAAAACAGCTTTGGTCAAAGCTTTTGATGAAATGAAGGACGTTCTTATCACGATGGAGGGCAAGAAAGAAGAAAACACAAGAAAAGTAAGAAATAGACCAAGTGGTGATAAGGAAAATATAATTGTTGCTGGAGATGTAGCAACTAACTCTGTAGAGATATTTAACTGGCGCCAAAGAACATGGTCGCCATTACAATCAATGCCAGAGGATCGTTATGGAGCAACTTCATTTACTTATAACAATCATATGACTATAGCTGGGGGTTGGTGTGGTGTGTCTGTCATTGCTGATGATATGATTAGAATGAATATTGACCCAAACCCTGATCTCTCAACACACTGGAGTGACTGTCCTGTTAAACTACCTGATAAATTAATATTCCACAGCAGTGTGCTGTATAATGATCAGTTGATAGTCTCTGGAGGTGATAATGGAAATGGTTTATCTGACTTGATCAGATCAGTCCAGCTTGTTCCTCCCTATACTGTGAAGACCTTAACAAGAATGCCAGAACCAAGACAAGGTCACAGCATGGAAATATTTGATGATAATTTGGTGATAGTTGGTGGAAGTACAATTAGCAGTTACAAAGGCAACCTCAGCAGTGTCGTACTGTACGATATAAAGAAGAATGAGCTGAGACAGTTGTCACCACTGCCGTATGAGGTGAGTCTCATGGCAACTGTGAGATGGGGAGACAACATTGTTGTTATTGGTGGCTTTGACAAATATGGCAAATTACTAGATACAGTTATCATTTACAATGTCAAGACAGGACAAAGTCACATGCTGCCATCAATGAGATGTAAGAGGAGGGGATGTACTGCAGTTGTTATTGAAAACAACATTGTAGTCCTGGGAGGGGAGAGTGAGCAAGCAATGCTAACATCAGTTGAAGGTTTCAACTTTGAAAGGTATTCTTGGGAAGAACTTCCAGAAATGTCTGAAGCAAGATTGTGGCACACTGCTGTTGTTGTGTGAACAATATGTGAGGCATTAAGCACTTGAAAACTCCTAACATATTATGAACAATTGAAATGAATTATAAGATTTCCACAAAGTTATAGAAATAGATTGTACCATTCTAAGTTGATTGTCAGACATATACTGATTTGTATTTTTGTGATTTAATTTAAATTGAGTCAGATCTTGGAATTATATATTAAAGAACAATAACAAAACAGACCAACACGCCATATCTGAAAAATTTCACGACAAAAAGTACAGTTTTTCACAGGGAAAAAATTTACGATTATGGAGCGAATATCTGCGAATATGGAGAAGAAAATTGTGAATATGGATACCTTTCCAGCAGATCTTCCAAGACCACCTGAAATATCCATTTTATATCTGAAAAAAAATTTGATTATTCAATTTTAACACTCTCCCTCTTTATTGGACCTGTATGAATCACCCCCCTGCAAGTATTAAAAATGAGGCTGTTGGCAGGGGGGTAGTCCTTCCCACGATTCATCACTCAGCAAGTACCGTTAATTGAAGCAATCACCCCCCCTGCTTATATTGGAAATGGGGCTTTTGGCAGGGAGGTAATTACTTCCATTTACAGTACTTGCTGAGTGACGGAACCACTTATGCAAAAAACTATGGAGTTGTTCTTCTGATAGGTATTCTGTGCCTACACTTTCTTTTATTTTTATTGTATTTTTATCTTTACTTGAAAGCACGACATGAAATTACCATTTAGATCTAACCGGGGGGTGAAGGAAGTACAATCATCAAATTGATTACTAATGGTAGTTTATATACAATTAAATTGACTTTTGCAAAATACAATGACATTTTCGTGCAAATAAAACCAAATACGGTAGAAATAACTACAAAACCATGGTCCATTTTACCAATACAACAACTATTATTACAAATAGTCTTTTGGAATTACGATTAAACCATTCTTATAAAGTTGTAAATGCAAATGCTGTGTTATTCCTGAGTAAGGAATTTCCTACGATTTTCCTAACACTGAACCTTCATCAGCGAAGCCTGAAGACTTCGAAGGCGTGAAATAAAATATCTTTGCACTAAAACCTATAAAAAATGAATGAAGTTAATTACTCTAGTGCAATACACGGGTCTACGAGGTTGTTCTCAAGTCATGCAACGATGAACCTTCCATATTTCATTTTAATATTTATGGCTTTATTGTTGAAGATAATGAAAGCGAAAGAGAGAAATTGTTTACAAGTGAAATAGTCAGATTGTCTTTTAAATTGCCGTGGAAAACTGATTTTGTTTCGAGAAATACATTATAGTTTAAAATTTACTTTAGCCGAATTCATATTAGAGGCGGGAAACTCGTCTTACAAGGTCAAGAAAAACAGGAAACTCGTTTCACAGGGGAAACTCCTCTTGGAAACTCATCTTAGACGGGAAACTCGTCTGATGTGAATCAGGCTACAGACGGGTTTCTCGTCAGAATTTTTCCGCCTAACTTTCCCGTCTAAACAAACGGTTAATTTGAACGGGAATCCCTTCTGGACGAGAAACTCGTCTTAAATTCGCATTTAGACGAATAAATCAGACGAGTTTCTGAAATATCAACACGGTCAAAGACGGAACAAGGGTAAAGCCCGCCGCACAAGAGAGCTATCAGCTGAAAACTATCCGCACACGATAGAAACTTGCCTCTCGAGGCGAATTCCTCACGAAAAACTATCCGCACACGAGAGTAACTTGCTGAGCTAACAGCCTCGCGAGGTCTTTACCTCAGCTACCAGCTCTCGTGTGAGGCGCGCTTAACTGAGAAAATAAACAAAATTATTATCGTAATAATCACAACACCCTTTTTAGCATTACCCGACCCATCACACGTGTAAATTTCATATCCATTCCAAGTCATATTAAGACGGGTTTTTACAATCAACTTTCCTGTCTAAGATGAATTTCCCGTGCCTAATATGAATTTGGTTATTAATGTGAGAGAGATGATACCTTCGGCTTCTCCGCTTCCTTGAATATACAATCCATTGTTATATGGTTTGTTGTTGTTTGAATAAGAACGTGATTTTCGTCAAATCTTCGCAGCAAATGGTGTCATGACAGAAATCCCTGGTTTGCAAATTATGTCGACACCATTGTGTGTACGAGAGCCTCTGTATAATGATAAATTCACGTTAATTTAATTGTTTTGTAAGATTATAAGAATATTATCGATTCGCTGTGTTGCTACAAGGTTACATCTGGTCTTACCTTGGTGTTCTGAAATCACCACAACCCTGACTGTCACATTCACGGATTGAATTTCTACCATTTGAGCTGCAAAGCTGACCAAGTTTAAAACATTCAACCGCATTATCTAGAAAAATAAATCCAGAAAAATACGATGAAAATAACGAAGTGATACTTGAGAATTCTATGAACAAAGATATATATCACAATATGTATTCCAGTACCTGCAAAGACTAGGAATATAACAATGATCTTAACAACTCCAAACATCTTTGATTTGCTAAAATTTAATCTTCTAGCTTGAAATGGCTTTTCATCGATATAATGACCGCACTTATACAGGATGTTTAAAAAAACGCAACACTTAATATTTATGAATATTTTGATACGCTATACGATCTTTTGTGATCAAAACGAAAGTTAATTTCATAAACACTTTGAAGTTGCGTTTTTCTTATTCACCACAGCTGTAGATCAATCCACAAGATATCCTAAACCATTTGTGTGTTGATGAAAACTGATTTAGATTGGAATATTATTCCACCGCGAAAATATTCAACTTGACTTAGACAGAGTAAAATACTAAAGTAGGTCACATCTGTGTGCATTGCAAGCTAATGGGTTAACAAGAGACACTGACAGATAGTTTTGTTAACTTATTAACTGACAGTACTCTTCCACTGATGAGTAAAATCATCTGACATTAGACAGAGTAAAATACTAAAGTAGGTCACAACTGGGTGCATTGCAAGCTAATGGGTTAACAAGAGACACTGACAGATAGTTTTGTTAACTTATTATCTGACAGTACTCTTCCACTGATGAGTAAAATCATCTGACATTAGACAGAGTAAAATACTAAAGTAGGTCACATCTGGGTGCATTGCAAGCTAATGGGTTAACAAGAGACATTGACAGATAGTTTTGTTAACTTATTAACTGACAGTACTCTTCCACTGATGAGTAAATTCATCTGACATTAGACAGAGTAAAATACTAAAGTAGGCCACATCTGGGTGCATTGCAAGCTAATGGGTTAACAAGAGACACTGACAGATAGTTTTGTTAACTTATTAACTGACAGTACTCTTCCACTGATGAGTAAAATCATCTGACACGATTAGGAAAAATCTAGGTTCATAATGCTGGACCATGCAGTTTGACTCATTCACTTTGCATACATAGCTCAGTGCGTTATACTCCAGTCCCAGTTCTCTCTCTCAGCTTTCGACATTTTTTAATTTATTTGTCGAAACACCGCAGCAAATTCCAAGAATTCCTGACAGCAAATGATGCATTTTATACAAACACTTTAGGAAGAAGAGATATTTGTCTTCATAAACTGATCATTTTGGAGAAGATTTCGAGAAAATACAAACACAGACTTCTTCAAGAACGAACACTGTATCTATATTCAGTTTATACAGCGAGGTTTATACTACAGAGCGACAAACAACACAGAACTTGCTTTATTATTACGACACAAGAACGACGTGAAATATGGCTTCATATATACAAGGCTACGATGAAGAACGCTTCGAGGCCAAAGTCAGTAAAAATTTCCTTTGTCAGATTTGCTTCAATGTCTTGAAAGAGCCTGTCCTGTGTCGGAAGAACCAACATTGTTTTTGCCGTTGTTGTATTACGAAACATATGGAAAATTCTCAAACATGTCCAACGTGTGCTGATGAACTGACCGTAGAGACTTTGACAGAACCAAATAGAATGGTAAAAGATCTTATAAATGAGTTAAAAATTCGTTGCGTTTACATCGACAGAGGTTGTCAAGAAGTTGTAGAATTACAGCATCTTGACCGCCATGAAGATACATGTGGATATACACCAGCCGTTTGTACAAACCAAGGCTGTGGTTTAATTGTCAACAAGCGTGATCTTATTCGCCATGAAAGTGAAGTCTGTGAATTCCGAAAGTTGAAGTGTCACTCGTGCCGAAAAATGACGAAAACTTTCGCAGATATCGAGGAAAGAATGGCGAATATCGAGAAGAATATGGTAACAAATAAAACAGTTGACACTAAAATAAAAAATTTAGAGAAAAATGTTGCCACTGTTGCGAATAATATCGAGAAAAACACGGCAGATATAAAAGCAAATATGGAAGGAAAACACGAAGCGGTTAACAACGAAGTCAGAGGATTGAAAACAGCTTTGGTCAGAGCTTTTGATGAAATTAAGGACGTTCTTATCACGATGGAGGGCAAGAAAGAAGAAAACACAAGAAAAGTAATAAATAGACCAAGTGGTGATAAGGAAAATATAATTGTTGCTGGAGGTGTAGTAACTAACTCTGTAGAGATGTTTAACTGGCGTCAAAGAACATGGTCGCCATTACAATCAATGCCAGATCATCGTTGTGGAGCGACTTCATTTATTTACAACAATCATATGACTATAGCTGGGGGTGACCGTGGTAGGCCTGACATTGTTATGACTAGAATGAATATTGACCCATACCCTGATCTCTCAACACACTGGAGCGACTGTCCTGCTAAACTACCTGAAAAGTTGAGATACCACAGCAGTGTGCTGTATAATGATCAGTTGATAGTCTCTGGATGTGCTAATGCAAATTATTCACGTGACTTGATCAAAGCAGTCCAGCTTGTTCCTCCCTATACTGTGAAGACCTTATCAAGAATGCCAGAACCAAGACAATGTCACAGCATGGAAATATTTGATGATAATTTGTTGATAGTTGGTGGAAGAGCAACTGGGTTTTACAAAGACAACCTCAGCAGTGTCGTACTGTACGATATAAAGAAGAATGAGCTGAAACAGTTGTCACCACTGCCGTATGAAGTGAGTCAAATGGTAACTGTGAGATGGGGAGACAACATTGTTGTTATTGGTGGCCTTGACAAACATTGCAAGTTATTAGATACAGTTATCATTTACAATGTCAAGACAGAACAAAGTCACATGCTGCCATCAATGAGATGTAAGAGGCAGGGATGTACTGCAGTTGTTATTAAAAACAACATTGTAGTCCTGGGAGGGTGGGGTGAGGAAGGAAAGCTGAAGTCAGTTGAAGGTTTCAACTTTGAAAGGTATTCTTGGGAAGAACTTCCAGAAATGTCTGAAGTGAGATGGCTGTCCACTGCTGTTGTTGTGTGAACAATATGTAAAGTATTAAGTGAAAACTCCTAACATATTATGAACAATTGAAATGAACTATAAGAATTTCACAAAGTTATAGAAATAGATTGTAGCATTCTAAGTTGATTGTCAGACATATACTGATTTGTATTTTTGTGATTGAATTTAAATTAAGTCAGTTCTTAGAACAATAACAAATCTTTGAAATAGATTTTTTCATTGAGGAAGGTTTTAAATGAAACATGAAATAAAAAATTTGAAATAAGCTTTTCTGCACCCCCTCCACCTAGGTTTTTTCAGCCACAATCCAACCCCTCCCCAGGGGTTAGCTTAAACGCTGGATAAGCTAAAGTTTAAAATTCCTCTCATACATCTTGTGAATGACTAAATCTGCATCTTGTGCATTAAATATGTACTTCCATTGACAATTAAACTATTTACATTGACTGATTGACATATTTCAGCTCAGTTGTTCAATAAATATATAGTTTCGTTTTCCATTTTGAACTTGTCCACCGTTTAAGCTAAACGCCTTTCGAACAACCGGCCCCTGAAAAAGAAATTGATTATTCAATTTTAACACTGTCCCTCTTTACTGGACCTCTATAAATCACCCCCCTGCAAGTATTAAAAATGGGGCTGTTGGCAGGGGAGGGCTTATCCCCAAGATTCATCCCTCAGCAAGTACGGTAAATAGAACGAATCACCCCCCTGCCCATATTAAAAATGGCGCTGTTGGCAGAGGGGTGATTACCTCCATTTACAGTACTTGCTTAGTGAATGAACCACTTACGCAAAAAACAATGGAGTTGTTCTTCTGATAGGTATTCTGTGCCTACACTTTCTTTTATTTTTATTGTATTTTTATCTTTACTTGAAACCACGACATGAAATTACCATTTAGACCTAACCCGGGAAGTGACGGGAGTCAATAGTGAGCTTAAGCAAGTGACGTTTTTGACAACACGTACGTTAACCGGAAGTAAAGTTTTTGTTTTTCACCAATCACAATCCTTGACCCAGTCTTTTCACGTCACTCATGCCGTTTGTGTTGTCAAAAACGTCACATGCTTAAGCTCACTAATGACCAAATCATTACTCATTCTGTTTCGAGAAATTCATTATAGTTTAAAATTTAGTTCAGCCGAATTCATATTAGAGGCGGGAAACTCGTCTTACAAGGTCAAGGAAAACAGGAAACTCGTCTTACAAGGGAAACTCCTCTTAGAAACTCATCTTAGACGGGAAACTCGTCTGATGTGAATCAGGCCACAGACGGGTTTCTCGTCAGAACTTTCCCGCCTAACTTTCCCGTCTCAACAAACAGTTAATTTGAACGGGAACCCTTCTGGACGAGAAACTCGTCTTAAATTCACATTTGGCAGGATAAATCAGACGAGTTTCTGAAATATCAACACGGTCAAGGACGGAACAAGGGTAAAGCCCGCCGCACAAGAGAGCTATCAGCTGAGCTAACGACCTCGCGAGGCAGTTAACTCAGCCTGAAAACTATCCGCACACGATAGAAACTTGCCTCTCGAGGCGAATTCCTCACGAAAAACTATCCGCACACGAGAGTAACTTGCTGAGCTAACAGCCTCGCGAGGTCTTTACCTCAGCTACCAGCTCTCGTGTGAGGCGGGCTTAACTGAGAAAATAAACAAAATTATTATCGTAATAATCACGATACCCTTTTTAGCATTACCCGACCCATAAAACGTGTAAATTTTATATCCTTTCCAAGTCATATTAAGACGAGTTTTTGCAATCAACTTTCCTGTCTAAGATGAATTTCCCGTGTCTAATATGAATTTGGTTGTTAATGTGAGAGAGATGATACCTTCGGCTTCCCCGATTCCTTGAATATACAATCCATTGTTATATGGTTTGTTGTTGTTTGAATAAGAACGTGATTTTCGTCAGATCTTCGCAGCAAATGGTGTCATGACAGAACTCCCTGGTTTGCAAATTATGTCGACACCATTGTGTGTACGAGAGCCTCTGTATAATGATAAATTCACGTTAATTTAATTGTTTTGTAAGATTATAAGAATATTATCGATTCGCTGTGTTGCTACAAGGTTACATCTGGTCTTACCTTGGTGTTCCGAAATCACCACAACCCTGACTGTCACATTCACGGATTGAATTTCTACCATTTGAGCTGCAAAGCTGACCAAGTTTAAAACATTCAACCGCATTATCTAGAAAAATAAATCCAGAAAAATACGATGAAGAATAACGAAGTGATACTTGAGAATTCTATGAACAAAGATATATATCACAATATGTATTCCAGTACCTGCAAAGACTAGGAATATAACAACGATCTTAACAACTCCAAACATCTTTGATCTGCTAAAATTTAATCTTCTAGCTTGAAATGGCTTTTCATCGATATAATGACCGCACTTATACAGGATGTTTAAAAAAATGCAACACTTAATATTCATGAATATTTTGATACGCTATACGATCTTTTGTGATCAAAACGAAAGTGAATTTCATAAACACTTTGAAGTTGCGTTTTTCTTATTCACCACAGCTGTAGATCAATCCACAAGATATCCTGAACCATTTGTGTGTTGATGAAATCTCATTTACATTGGAATATTATTGCACCGCGAAAATATTCAACTTGACTTAGACAGAGTAAAATACTAAAGTAGGTCACATCTGGGTGCATTGCAAGCTAATGGTTAACAAGAGACACTGACAGATAGTTTTGTTAACTTACTAACTGACAGTACTCTTCCACTGATAAGTAAAATCATCTGATACGATTAGGAAAAGTCTAGTTTCATGATGCTGGACAATGCAGTTTGACCCAATCACTTGGCATACATAGCTCAGTGCGTTATACTCCAGTCCCCGTTCTCTCTCTCAGCTCGCGATATTTTGAAATTTATTTGCGGAAACACCGCAGCAAATTCCAAGAATTCCTGACAGCAAATGATGCATTTTATGCAAACACTTTATAAGCAAGAGATATTTGTCTTCATAAATTGATCATTTTGGAGAAGATTTCGAGAAAATACAAACACTTCTTGGTAATATAAAATACAAACTATTTCTTGGTATAAAATACAAACTATTTCTTGGTATAAAGTATCATTTTCATCGAACTAATTTCCATATAATGAAATAAGAAATTCCTACCAACATAAACACAACCAATTGCAATTCACTATTTCAATAGGAGATGCTGAGCTTTGTCAGGAGACAATAATAATAATATAATTTTTTCATACCACAAATTCCTGTGCACAAAACACTCTTTAAACACTTCAGTACGGAAGAGATATTTCTCTGCGCTTCTAAACAGATAATTTTGCCGTAGCGATTTGAGAAAATACAAACACAGACTTGTCAAAGAACGAACACTGTATCTATATTCAGTCTATACAGCGACGTTTATACTACAGAGCGACAAACAACACAGAACTTGCTTTATTATTACGACACAAGAACGACGTGAAATATGGCTTCATATATACAAGGCTACGATGAAGAAAGGTTTTTGGACAAAATCAATCAAAATTTCCTCTGTCAGATTTGCTTCAACGTCTTGAAAGAGCCGGTTATGTGTTCGAGAAACCAGCATTCTTTTTGCCGTTGTTGTATTACGAAACATCTGGAAAATTCCAAAACATGTCCAACGTGTGCTGATGAACTTACCGTAGAGACTTTGGCCGAACCACAAAGAATGATAAAAGATTATTTGAATGAATCGAAAATTCGTTGCGTTTACATCGACAGAGGTTGTCAAGAAGTTGTAGAATTACAGCATCTTGACCGCCATGAAGATACATGTGGATATACACCAGCCGTTTGTACAAACCAAGGCTGTGGTTTAATTGTCAACAAGCGTGATCTTATTCATCATGAAAGTGAAGTCTGTGAATTCCGAAAGTTGAAGTGTCACTCGTGCGGAGAAATAACCAAAACTTTGGCAGATATGGAGGAAAGAATGGCGAAGAATAACACAACAATTGAAACTAAAATAACAAATTTAGAGAAAAATATGGCGAGAAATACCATAGTCGCAGATTTAAAAGCAGATATGGAAGGAAAACTCGAAGCGGTTAACAACAAAGTCGATGGATTGAAAACAGCATTGGTCAGAGCTTTTGATGAAATGAAGGACGTTCTTATCACGATGGAGAGCAAGAAAGAAGAAAACACAAGAAAAGTAAGAAATAGACCAAGTGGTGATAAAGAAAATATAATTGTTGCTGGAGGTGTAGGAACTAACTCTGTAGAGATGTTTAACTGGCGTCAAAGAACATGGTCGCCATTACAATCAATGCCAAAGAGTCGTTATGGAGCGACTTCATTTATTCATAACAATCATATGACTATAGCTGGGGGTTGGTGTGTTGGGCCTGGCATTGTTGATGATATGATTAGAATGAATATTGACCCAAACCCTGATCTCTCAACACACTGGAGTGACTGTCCTGTTAAACTACCTGATAAGTTGAGCAGTGTGCTGTATAATGATCAGTTGATAGTCTCTGGAGGTAATAATGGAAATGATTCATCTGACTTGATCAGAGCAGTCCAGCTTGTTCCTCCCTATACTGTGAAGACCTTATCAAGAATGCCAGAACCAAGACAAGGTCACAGCATGGAAATATTTGATGATAATTTGTTGATAGTTGGTGGAAGAACAACTGGTAATTACAAAGACAACCTCAGCAGTGTCGTATTGTACGATATAAAGAAGAATGAGCTGAAACAGTTGTCACCACTGCCCTATGAAGTGGGTGATATGGCAACTGTGAGATGGGGAGACAACATTGTTGTTATTGGTGGTGCTGACAAACGCGGCAAGCCATTAGATACAGTTATCATTTACAATGTCAAGACAGAACAAAGTCACATGCTGCCATCAATGAGATGTAAGAGGAGGGGATGTACTGCAGTTGTTATTGAAAACAACATTGTAGTCCTGGGAGGGAAGGGTGAGGGAAGAAAGCTGAAGTCAGTTGAAGGTTTCAACTTTGAAAGGTATTCTTGGGAAGAACTTCCAGAAATGTCTGAAGCAAGATGGTGGCCCACTGCTGTTGTTGTGTGAACAATATGTAAGGTATTAAGTGAAAACGCCTAACATATTATGAACATTTGAAATGAACTATAAGATTTTCACAAAGTTATAGAAATAGATTGTAGCATTCTAATTTGATTGTCAGACATATACTGATTTGTATTTTTGTAATGGAATTTCAATTGAGTCAGTTTTTAGAATTATATATTAACGAACAATAACAAATCTTTGAAATAGATATTTTCATTGAGGAAGGTTTAAAATTAAACACCAAATAAAACATTTGAAATAATATTTTCTGCACCCCCTCCACCTAGGTTTTTTCACACACCCCCTCCTAGGTTTTTTCACCACCCCCCCTACCACCTGGATTCTTCTGCCCCAGTCCCCCAGACCAAGAATCCTAACTGAGCCTCTGCCTCAAGAAATAGCTCAGTTACCGATTTTAAATATCAGCCTGTCTGTAAATGATGTCTGTGTCTGTCAGACTGCCACAGACCAAGTCATATTTTAAAATTTAACAATTAACAAGATTTTGATAGTTTTACTCTTTATTAAAACAAGACCCCGATTAACTTGTATAAATTGGTTTGTCAACTAAAATAAAATTCTTGTTTCAAGTTTGCTCACAGATTGTTTTGTAATTTCACGTTTTCCATTGCGTCCTTGAAGGCTTTTAGTACAAGATTTACATTATCTTTTGTACTGTTCAACCCCATCAGACCAACACGCCATATCTGAAAAATTTCATGTCAAAAAGTATGGTTCTTCGATTTATGATTATGGAGGGAATATCTGCGAATACACAGAGAAGAAAATTGTGAATATGGATACCTTTCCAGCAGATCTTCCAAGACCACCTGAAATATCCATTTTATATCTGAAACAGAAATTGATTATTCAATTTTAACACTCTCCCTCTTTAGTTGACCTCTAGAAAGAACAATTTAGAGCTATCCAATATAAATAAAGTTGGTTTAGTTTAGGTTTCCTCTTGTAGTAACACTGGATCAATAAGAGATGATCCTTACTGGACCTCTAGGAAGAACAGTTTAGAACTGATAGAATTCCAGTATAAATAAAGTTAGTTTAGTTTAGGTTTCCTCCTGTAGTGACACTGGATCAATAAGAGATGATCCTTACTGGACCTCTAGGAAGAACAGTTTAGAACTGATAGAGTTATCCAGTATAAATAAAGTTAGTTTAGTTTAGGTTTCCTCCTGTAGTAACACTGGATCAATGAGAGATGATCCTTACTGGACCTCTAGGAAGAACAATTTAGAACTGATAGAGCTATCCAGTATAAAAAAAGTTAGTTTCGTAAACATACTTTTCACCAATGAATGCTGAAACTTTCTTCCAGTCAACTCCTTGTGGAATAACAACTCCAGTGATGGTGGATAAGCGATGGCGCTATGAGAGAAAATTGAAGATAAAGTCAACTTTAAACTAGGATAAACAATTGCGCATGATGATATCACTAAAATATTTCTCAAACCTTGTCTTGTACAAATAAGGTGAACCCCATTTTCTCAAAACCTTCGCGTAAAAGTTCAGCACATTTCTGATGTCTTGCAATAAAGTTTTCAAGACCCTAAATACAATTCAGGATAATCAACTGTCATTGCTTGATCAAACGAAAACAAGAGTTGCATGAGAGTTGACAAGCGAGAGTTTACATGAGAGTTTCATCAACTATCATTGCTTGATCAAACGAGAACAAGAGTTGCATGAGAGTTGACAAGCGAGAGTTTATATGAGAGTTTCATCAACTATCATTGCTTGATCAAACGAGAACAAGAGTTGCATGAGATTTGACAAGCGAGAGTTTACATGAGAGTTTCATCAACTATCATTGCTTGATCAAACGAGAACAAGAGTTGCATGAGAGTTGACAAGCGAGAGTTTACATGAGAGTTTCATCAACTATCATTGCTTGATCAAACGAGAACAAGAGTTGCATGAGAGTTGACAAGCGAGAGTTTACATGAGAGTTTCATCAACTATCATTGCTTGATCAAACGAGAACAATAATTGAATGTGAGTTGACAAATGAGAGTTTACATGAGAGTTTCATCAACTATCATTGCTTGTTCAAACAAGAACAAGAGTTGCATGAGAGTTGACAAGCGAGAGTTTACATGAGAGTTTCATCAACTATCATTGCTTGATCAAACGAGAACAAGAGTTGCATGAGAGTTGACAAGCGAGAGTTTACATGAGAGTTTCATTAACTATCATTGCTTGATCAAACGAGAACAAGAGTTGCATGAGAGTTGACAAGCGAGAGTTTACATGAGAGTTTCATTAACTATCATTGCTTGATCAAACGAGAACAAGAGTTGCATGAGAGTTGACAAGCGAGAGTTTACATGAGAGTTTCATTAACTATCATTGCTTGATCAAACGAGAACAAGAGTTGCATGAGTGTTGACAAGCGAGAGTTTACATGAGAGTTTCATCAACTAACATTGCTTGATCAAACGAGAACAAGAGTTGCATGAGAGTTGACAAGCGAGAGTTTACATGAGAGTTTCATCAACTATCATTGCTTGATCAAACGAGAACAAGAGTTGCATGAGAGTTGACAAGCGAGAGTTTACATGAGAGTTTCATCAACTATCATTGCTTGATCAAACTAGAACAAGAGTTGCATGAGAGTTGACAAGCGAGAGTTAATATATATTCCAGTCAAAAACGTTGTTTAACTGACAAACCTCTTCAACCACAAGTGAAAGAGCTTCTCGCAAAGCATATACCGAATTTGTTGGTCCAGTATGATGGTATCTAAAGATTATATTGAAACAGGCAATATTAGTCAAATTACTGTTGAATTTATAATGGTTGCACTGAGTGAATTCGTGATTTCACACCAAAATTGCACGACACAAAGTGCAATTTCCACTTTATTATATTCATTTTGAAATCATACAAAAGATTAAACAAATTCAAAACGATTTATTGGCTAAAAGAACCGTAAACGCGGTGTAAAATGTGAATAATTTTCGTTTATTTTTGTCAAGAAATTTTGCGAGGCATTTAAAAATTCAAAATAATAAAATTTTGTTCCATTTTCCCCTGTAATTTGATTGGATAGTTACACTGAAATACTAAATCTGATTGGTTATTGTGATGCAGAGCTTAAATCTTATTGGCTTATAAATGATGTGATTTATTCTCAAAAATAGTGCGATTTGGGAATTAATCAGACTATTTTTAACCAATCAGATTGCAAGAAACACCATTGATTTCAAAATGAATATAATAAAGTTAAAGTGTAGTATTTTACTGGTGTTCATAAATCATAATTATCATGTCTGGAAAATCAATAACAGCAACATATGAAGATGGTTTTGTCTTACCTGCGTGGTCCATCATCACAACCCCAGTAATTTGCAATCATTGTGAGATCAAAGTAGAATGAGGGCACTTTAGTTTTCCTGGATTGCAATTTCTTCCTAGAAATATCAGAAATATCTTTCTCAGGTAGTTCAGACACAAACCACGACAGCTTATTGTAGAATACTACCTACACTGGACTATCATGTTTGAGATATCTTTCTCAGGTAGTTCAGACACAAACAATGACAGCTTATTGTAGAATACTACCTACACTGGACCACCACGTTTCAGATATCTTTCTCAGGTAGTTCAGATCGACACAAACCACATTAGCTCATTGTAGAATACTACCTACACTGGACCACCACGTTTCAGATATCTTTCTCAGGTAGTTCAGACACAAAACACAACAACTCATTGTAGAATACTACCTACACTGGACCACCAGGTTTGAGATATCTTTCTCAGGTAGTTCAGACACAAACCACGACAGCTTATTGTAGAATACTACCTACACTGGACCACCACATTTAAGATATCTTTCTCAGGTAGTTCAGATACAAACCACGACAGCTTATTGTAGAATACTACCTACACTGGATCACCACGTTTGAGATATCTTTCTCAGGTAGTTCAGACACAAACCACGACAGCTTATTGTAGAATACTACCTACACTGGACCACTATGACCATATTTGAGACACGGTTTTTCAGGACATAGTTCAACCAATACTTACCATGCTCTGGGACTAAGTGATATTGGACTTAGCCCTGGCGGGGCACTTAAGCATTTCTGTGAGCCACTATATATAACATCGATTTCCAGCTCATCAACATTGATTGTTGATCCCCCAAGTGATGCCACAGTATCAACAATTAAAACACAATCATTGCTACAAAATATAACAAGTTTTTTAAACTTAAATTTTTCTCTAACATTAACAAGATACACAGATAGATAGTTTTGTTAACTCACTAACTGACAGTACTCTTCCACTGATGAGTAAAATCATCTGACATTAGACAGAGTAAAATACTAAAGTAGGTCACATTTGGGTGCATTGCAAGCTAATGGGTTAACAAGAGACACTGACAGATAGTTTTGTCAACTTATTAACTGACAGTACTATTCCACTGATGAGTAAAATCGTCTGACATTAGACAGAGTAAAATACTAAAGTAGGTCACATCTGGGTGCATTGCAAGCTAATAGGTTAACAAGAGACACTGACAGATAGTTTTGTCAACTTATTAACTGACAGTACTATTCCACTGATGAGTAAAATCATCTGACATTAGACAGAGTAAAATACTAAAGTAGGTCACATCTGGGTGCATTGCAAGCTAATGGGTTAACAAGAGACACTGACAGTTAGTTTTGTTAACTTATTAACTGACAGTACTCTTCCACAGATGAGTAAAATCATCTGACATTAGACAGTGTAAAATACTAAAGCAGGTCACATCTGGGTGCATATATTGCAAGCTAATAGGTTAACAAGAGACACTGACAGATAGTTTTGTTAACTTATTAACTGACAGTACTCTTCCACTGATGAGTAAAATCATCTGACATTAGACAGAGTAAAATACTAAAGTATAGGTCACATCTGGGTGCATTGCAAGCTAATAGGTTAATTAACAAGAGACACTGACAGTTAGTTTTGTTAACTTATTAACTGACAGTACTCTTCCACTGATGAGTAAAATCATCTGGAAAAGTGTAAGTTCATAATGCAAGGAAATGGTTGAGCAATAGACACTCACTTATGACAGAGTTCTCCAATTCCTTCAAGAGGCTGACATGTTGTACCAGAAGACTCACCATGGGCGATGAAAACTACGCTTGGTCTGTGTTCCTCTATTCCCTGAAAAAGTTACAAAACAAGAGATCAGCGAGCTACTTGGTGACGCCACTCTAGCTACCTTAAATCACAAGAAAAGTTATTCATAATGAAACCTTTTTAATGTCTTCTAAGGTAAAGACTTCACCAATTGGTCTCTCTATCTTCCTCACATCACAACCTGGCAAAATTTAAAAGAATTTGAGCATAGTTCATTTGGAATTAAACATAACAGAGTCTAGTTGGTTAACAAAAGTTGACAGATAGTTTTGTTAACTTATTAACTGACAATACTCTTCCACTGATGAGTAAAATCATCTGACATTAGACAGAGTAAAATACTAAAGTAGGTCACATCTGGGTGCATTGCAAGCTAATGGGTTAACAAGAGACACTGACAGATAGTTTTGTTAACTTATTAACTGACAGTACTCTTCCACTGATGAGTAAAATCATCTGACATTAGACAGAGTAAAATACTAAAGTAGGTCACATCTGGGTGCATTGCAAGCTAATGGGTTAACAAGAGACACTGACAGTTAGTTTTGTTAACTTATTAACTGACAGTACTCTTCCACAGATGAGTAAAATCATCTGACATTAGACAGTGTAAAATACTAAAGCAGGTCACATCTGGGTGCATATATTGCAAGCTAATAGGTTAACAAGAGACACTGACAGATAGTTTTGTTAACTTATTAACTGACAGTACTCTTCCACTGATGAGTAAAATCATCTGACATTAGACAGAGTAAAATACTAAAGTATAGGTCACATCTGGGTGCATTGCAAGCTAATAGGTTAATTAACAAGAGACACTGACAGTTAGTTTTGTTAACTTATTAACTGACAGTACTCTTCCACTGATGAGTAAAATCATCTGGAAAAGTGTAAGTTCATAATGCAAGGAAATGGTTGAGCAATAGACACTCACTTATGACAGAGTTCTCCAATTCCTTCAAGAGGCTGACATGTTGTACCAGAAGACTCACCATGGGCGATGAAAACTACGCTTGGTCTGTGTTCCTCTATTCCCTGAAAAAGTTACAAAACAAGAGATCAGCGAGCTACTTGGTGACGCCACTCTAGCTACCTTAAATCACAAGAAAAGTTATTCATAATGAAACCTTTTTAATGTCTTCTAAGGTAAAGACTTCACCAATTGGTCTCTCTATCTTCCTCACATCACAACCTGGCAAAATTTAAAAGAATTTGAGCATAGTTCATTTGGAATTAAACATAACAGAGTCTAGTTGGTTAACAAAAGTTGACAGATAGTTTTGTTAACTTATTAACTGACAATACTCTTCCACTGATGAGTAAAATCATCTGACATTAGACAGAGTAAAATACTAAAGTAGGTCACATCTGGGTGCATTGCAAGCTAATGGGTTAACAAGAGACACTGACAGATAGTTTTGTTAACTTATTAACTGACAGTACTCTTCCACTGATGAGTAAAATCATCTGACATTAGACAGAGTAAAATACTAAAGTAGGTCACATCTGGGTGCATTGCAAGCTAATGTGTTAACAAGAGACACTGACAGATAGTTTTGTTAACTTATTAACTGACAGTACTCTTCCACTGATGAGTAAAATCATCTGACATTAGACAGAGTAAAATACTGAAGTAGGTCACATCTGGGTGCATTGCAAACTAATGGGTTAACAAGAGACACTGACAGATAGTTTTGTTAACTTATTAACTGACAGTACTCTTCCACTGATGAGTAAAATCATCTGACATTAGACAGAGTAAAATACTGAAGTAGATCACATCTGGGTGCATTGCAAGCTAATGGGTTAACAAGAGACACTGACAGATAGTTTTGTTAACTTATTAACTGACAGTACTCTTCCACTGATGAGTAAAATCATCTGACATTAGACAGAGTAAAATACTAAAGAAGAAGACAACAGTCAGTGATACACCTCATCAGTGTTTTAACACGGAGTGATTGTTACATATTAGAACAATTAACCTCACAATTACTGGGCGATTAACCGTAATTAGGTTACATAAACAAAGGCTATTTCATACCAATTCTTTCGGCCATATCCGAAGCTCTTTCGCCCCAAATCCCGTTGACACAAATCAATATTTTCTCTCCTCTCTCAGTCATATTAATAATGGACGCTTCGACCCCGGCATGACCAGTACCGCTAAGAGCGAACTGCCAAACGTACTGCAAGCCCATCTTAACTTCGTCCATGATCGCACAAAATCGCGGATCTAAAAGGCCCAAAATTGGCTGAGCACAAGCGTTTAAAACCTTTTGATGGCCATTCGAAGGCCCCGGACCCATTAAAAGCCTTTCTTCGACTTTTAAAGGGACGAGAAGCTGCTTTGGTGGTTCTACAACAGACATTTTATAATTTTATTGTTGATTGTGCGAGAATCTGAGAGAAGTCTTTGAAACTTTGAAATTTGAATATTTACAAATAATCCAACACGTGGACTTAGGACCGGAAGTCTTGCACCGGAAGTCTTGCACCGGAAGTCTTGTACTGAACGTCATGTACCGGAGGTCTTGTACCGGAGGACTTGTACCGGAGGTCTTGTACCGGAGGTCATGTACCGGAGGTCTTATACCGGAAGTCTTGTACCGAAAAATACGTCACAAAGTAGCAAAATGTTGCAAAATGTCATCACATTGCAGGTACATTTATAGATCAGTCGTTAGACTAGTGCACTGATCTCGATGATGGAACTGGATATGGATCACTGATCGCTGTTAAACTGGATAGCTCTACTTGTTTCACCATAATTTGAATGAATTTGAATTCCAATCTGAATAGTGCAATATTATATGAAAATATTTTTACGATAAGCTTATAAATTTTGCAACCAACTAAAGTAACTCCAAGTCTCCAACCTTCGAGCTATTAAAGAAAATAATTCACCCTTTTACTGCGTGATTAATATAAATAGCTTTAAATAGAATTAATTCTAGAAAATAAATCGTCATCACTTATTATTTATTGGCTTTGTGCACTACAGATAAACTAATCAGCTAATGGCATGTCAATAGACCTTTCCCCTTTTAGCTTTCAAGTGCGCAATGCGTGACGGTGGTTGATTATCAAGGTCAATTTGAGTTCTGACCCCCCCCCCATGTTCAGGAGTTCATGTTTAGTTTAACAAAGAAACAAAAAGAATTAGCAAGGTCTTCTTACAAATAAAATCGCTTCAAAGCAGAACAAATGCAACTCAAAGTCCCTTGATAATCAACTCACCCATCGCCGCGCTTAAAAGGGGAAAAGTCTATTGCACAATTAAGCTCAATTTCAAAAGATTTTGCCCTCAATTTAGACTTGAATAATAACAGTAATACCTCACATATTTTAGACTTGACATTTAATGCGATATTAATCTAAATGTTCCGCATTGCAATGTTACAGTTCATCTTTTACTGCATTATCGTAGAAGAACGTTTCTCCACATTTTTTGCAATATTCGTATGGCACTGTTACTTCTTTCCCTCCATCAAATTGCATTTTGACTGGCTCTTTAGCAGGGATCTTCTCGTGATTGCCGTTCGGGCAAGGTGTTATGCTTTCGACTTTGTATGAATCTGGCGTGAATACCACTCTCTTGTGTTTTACCTCTTGAACGAAACTTTTGTATCTTTTTCTCACTCTCTTTATCCCCAGAATAGGTTTGACCACTTTCAGTACAGGTTTAACCACTTTTTTGATAACTCTTTCTACTGGTCTAGTTACATGTCGAATAACCCTTTTCAGACCTCTTAAAATACCAGAAACCTCGACTGTAGAAGACAGTAGAACTACACCGATAAGGCCAAAAGCTAGCAAAGTCGCTTTTCTCATGATTTTATGGTTCGATAAAGCGTCTCCGAGTTAAAGTGCTGACTAGAATCGCATGCACTTGGCTGATTAAATCGACATAAACAAATATTCGACAAAAGGCATTTATATGATCAATACAACACCACCAGCTGTGATATTTCTAAGCTGTAAAGTGGAGCTAACCGATCATATCACTGATTTTGTGAACTGTTTACCTCATAACGAATGAGTGGATATTATTAAGATATTTATTTAGCTTGACGGCGAATACCTAAAGCCGGTTCTCCATCGTAGGCGAAATGGTTCGATCGAACGAAATTTTTCGCTCGATTTTCTTTTCAATTGTGAGAAATCGACCGTGGCTGATGATCTTGACCTTTCTTATCGAGCGAAAATTTTCGTTCGATATAAAAATATCGCCTAGTGGAAAACCGGCTTAAAGGCCTGGCTTTATTAAAGTCTGTTTCAGCTCATTTGCATCAGGTCAGAGCATCAGAAGAGCGACGCCTTGACCTAGATCTAAATATTTTTAGTTGCTATAGGACTTTGCAGAGAAGATCGAATTTGCGGCTTTGCCCTTTGAGATTTCGCAATTTGCTTGTGGTATTCATATGATCATATCCAAACATTGCTTATCATTAAACAATCATATAATGCTTGTCGGACATGGAATTTACTGCATCACCTGAAAAGGTAGGTATAAGAACGGATAAAATTGGTCACGGGCAGCAATTTTAGCTGTGTTGTACCAATAATTTAAGTGTAATCTAAACCGACATTGCTTGCCGAATATTAATAGATTTCGGCGAATGCGGAATTATTCCTATTTCCTGAGATTTAACGTCTGACGTTTCAGAATTTGCTTACTAGTTCATTTTCAAAGATGCGGCAGTTGCTTCTGGTCTTTAGGGCTTATGTCATTTTTATCTTTATAAATATTAAACGCTTGCCTGATCTGCAAAAAAATTCAGTTGGGCCAATCATAATGCTTGTCTGACAAGGAATGTATTGCATCATCTGAAAAGGTAAGGGCGGCCCCCAGTGCATCTCAGTAAGCATTGCGCCGTTTCCATGTAGCTGAATGCATCCTATTTTTAGTCATTCTGCTGAAATACTATGAAGAAATCATCTTTCCTAGCACATGGATTGACTATCCTGGTGGTCCTTTGCTGTGCCACCGAGGTAACCTGTTTCATAGGCAAAATTTTCAAGGAAATAGACAGAGCTCTTTGCAGATTCGATCGCCATGTTACTCGACCTTTTATCAAAGCCATCGGTCTTGTGAGGGTGAAGAAAACGTACAGACAGTTCAAAGAAGAAGTTAAACACAGCAGAGTTATTTTCTCGCCAAATTCATATCGTGTGGAGAAAATAAAACCGTGCGCTCATGGACATCACGACATCGTTCAGGACAAGCGAGCGATTGAGATACAATTTCAAGATCAAGCCGTTACATTTCGTCACAAATACTGCAGAAAATGCGGACAGAATTTCTTCTAGACTCCAATAAAACCTTGCGTTATGCAGACAAATAGTTTTTCACGGACAATGCAAAGAACACATGTGATGTGAATGGCTTTAATTGAGCTTATTTTATTTTTAATAGACTATTATGTACTCGCTTTTTAAAATTTAATCATGATATTTGACTATTATATATGATTGACTATAACTTGATAATAGCATTATAAAACGATGATTGAGTTAAATACTAAACTGATTTAGTGTGTTCATGAAGATTCGTCATGTGCGAGATATATATGTTATATAAACAACACACATCTTTCTAAATATATAACGTTTGTTGTCAATTGAAATACAATCTATGATGACAGTTTTAAAATCAGTGCAAAAGTGCGTTCGCTTGATTTACCAGGGTTTTAATACTGGATAAAGTGCTGTGATCTTCTTCAGTTGATCTAATGTCATAAATATCATACCAGATGCTGCACCACATTTTGAACAGATAAGAACAGGGCTCTTGATGTACAAATTGTTCGTTTCAGTCCTGGAACCACGGTCCGATTTCGAGGAAAGTGTGATTCCGAGAAGGCTTGATTTCCCCTTGTTTTCCCAAGTCACAGTGCTCCGAACGGAAATCGTCAGCCATCCAACGCCTCTTGGCTCGAAATTATGCGGTGGGCAGCTTGAAGCGGCGTGATCACAATCAGAACTGCTGAAAACAGTATCTTAAAGTTCATTCTGTGAGTCATTGCTTATGTTCACCGCTAGCTGTGGTTCACTGAGGTGTTTGCGTCAGAAACAGCGCGATCGTCAGCTATAGAATGGTCGTTGAACTCTTGAATTTATCTCGTTAATAACTCCGTATCTAAACAACAATCTCAACTTAACTTAAAGCTGTAGAGCCCCTGTCAATGCATCAATGCATCAATGCGTCAGTCAGTGCCCTGCAGCCCCACGTGAATGTCAGAATACCCATTTGACAATTTTCCGAGTATTGACATTCCTTGGAGTTAATTATGGCTGTTGTTGGGCGAAAGTGTTGCCTGAAGTTAATAATTTTACTGTTAATTCTTAAGGTTACGGTATCGTCGGTCGAAAAATTGCCAATAGTGTACGACACCGAAAGTGGAAAATACTACGCAATAAGAAATCCCCGACGTGTGACGAATATCCGATTGAATACGATCCCAAACAAATACGTTTACGAATAATCCAAAGTACACTGGCGGTTGCGAGAGATTCAAGATAAAGGTTTCACAAGATTATGAAGGCTTCCAAATCGAGAGTTTCGAGGAGACCACAACCACTAAATTAGGGATCTAACACTAAAGGACACAAGATAATTCATGGCAAGAATTCGTTGAGAAGAGATCGTGGTTGCATGACGAACGTGCAGAAGTATTTTCGCACTATGTGGCATAAAAACTATGTAATTGTCTGGAATGGTCTAGTCTAGAAATGTCTAAAATCGACAATTGAATAAGTCGGAATAACCTATAGCATGTAAACGTATATTTGTATGATATATTTTCAACAATGTTATATAATAAATGGATTTAAAGGAAAGACCCAACAAGTTTAGACTGTATTCCCTGTAAAGTAGTAGAGCGATGTGACCAGTTGAAGGTCTTTAGACTTTACTGGCTTTAAGGCCAGTGTTAAGGGAAGGTTTGTTGTGTTTAATTAGTGTTTCTGTTTCCTTTTAATCCATACACGTGTGTTGTAAAGTATTGTATTTCATTCTGTTTGAGGATGGCTTTGAAAGATTGAAATAAAGTCGAAAATTTACAGCTTTAACCTGTGTCTTGCTTGATTGAAACATAGATTCTCAAGTGTCTAAATAGTCTTTTACTTTATCAGACTATTTAAAAGTTAAAAGCAGTATCTAATTGGCAGAATAGTGGGTAGTAGTGGCGATTCTCGCTCATAGAAATTTAGAATTCAAAACGAAGTCCGTTCACATTTTTTACAGCATTCGAAACGCAATCGTAAAATTAGGTCTTCATCTGCATGTTATCAGTTTGTCGCTTTGGCCCCTAACGCATTTAATGCAATTTTTATACCGACAAAAAAAGCTGAGTCATGTATTCACTTATTAGATATAATCCCATATGAAATATAATGAAACTATAAA